TTTTTGACTCATCTCTTGGTAATAGGTTGGCAGTACTCAAAAGCCGGTATTGGCTAACTTGACTATAGCGTATCTAAATGAATTAAAAATGTGGGTTTGATGATTTCAGACGATGGCCTTTCGAACGCAAATAAAAAAATAAAAATTTTGACTAGCACGTCATAGACTGCGGTGATTCCCACCTTTCTCATGGATCCTCTCTTAAAGATCAATTATTAAATTTTAATTTGATTTTAAATTAACATAAATGGTTCATCCAAGCAACAGATGATGAGCGACTTCAATAGATTCAACTATTTCTATATAAAAATTTCTTACTCATAATTCGATGAAATATTTGTTTTGTTGCTTCGTTAGAAAGACATGTTGCGAGAAGTGACGGGTTGTGCAAATAAAAAAAATCAAATGAAACTCACGTTTTTCTTCCAACGAAAAAGAAAAGAAATAAAAAAAGCTTGTGCGTCTGTAATACAAAAAATGCTGAAAGAATTGCCTTGTCGAGGTAGAATTCTTCTACGACTGACTCATACTAATAAAAAAATGTTATTCAAAGGCGATAACGTAATAAAACTAACACGACGCAATTTCATCCTAGCAGTAGAGGTCATCACATGATTTGAAGGGTTTTAGTAATGGCAACACTTCCTCTAATCTTTTCGAAAAATATAATTTTTTTATAGTGAAAACCAAAAGTTCTAATGTGTAGTATTTTGTTCGACAACCTTAGGTCAAGCAAATGAGTGTCGAGAGAATTTTCGAACAACCATCGAAACTTTAAACTTGGAAGAGAATCCAATAAAGAAAAGTACCATCTTCTCTATTAAAGCTGAGAAAAATGATATCAAAAATAATTATCAATATGTTCGACAATGCTCTTCGAAAATGTCATTTCAGAAATCATATAAAACCCACAAGTTACATCTAAAAAGAAAATGATCAAACAGATTTGAAATTCGGTAAATAAAAATGTCCGAAATTCAAATTTCAAATCAAAATATTTTGAGACAATTCAGAAAATACATTACAGGGAAAAAGAGAACATAACGAAGTAATAGAACGGATTCAAGCTAATCCATTCAAATTATCAGAATACATGTGTCTATTAAGAAAATGATACGAACAACGCCATATCCTAATCGCTACATGAGAAATAATCATCTGAAACAAAATATAATTAATTAAATGAATCTTCCATGGATCTATCTTGAAAAGAAAAAACGATAAAATATTGATTTGTAGCTTCTTAATTGCAACCAAAGATCAAACTAATTAGAAGACCGATAGTGTGGCTGAGGAATGGAATTTTGGTCGCAGTTAAGAAGTACCCCTTTCCATCACACATTGTGACAAACTTTGTGTTATGTTGCACCGTCGATTCGGTCACAAATAATGAAATTAGTTTCATCATGTTGCATATTTTAATCTGGTACATATTATGCTGAAAACATGTTTAGCCAATAGAAAATGTCGAGCGATCTTTTCGTTTCCATTTGACTTTTACTCAGAAATTGTGTCATTTGAAGAAAAAAGTATCAATTAATGTGGTGATATTGGACACAGCAGTGTTAAATAGAAGCGCTTCACTAAATAAATGCCATAAGTAGCTAGCAGTTCTCGGCTTTTTTTTGTGTTTTCGATTTAGTGCAATAGTTCCTAAACACTTATTACTGGTATTGACCTGGTAAGTTTCAATTTCGCAAGAAACGATGAGGAGGAATGTTCTCCTTCTCTCGCAACAGCCATGCTAGCAACCAAAGATCTATCAGAAACTCAAGTTGATCATGTCAAGGCTAAGTTTTCTAGATGTCTGTCTCTTAACTACACTAATGTTATATTGATTGATTGAGTCGAAGGAAAAAGAAAAGACATACTTCTCATCAGAGAAGACAACGATCAGGTTGTAAACAATATCAGATGGAATCATAGGTGACAATGAACGACGCACATAGAAGATCGAGCAAATATCTTATGACTACAAATGATACAAAAAAAGATGTTAACAAAAGAATCAATTCAAAAACAATATTTGTCAGATTTGTATTTAACCCAAACTATGCACACAAAATTTCCTATTGAACGATGCTAATAAATGCTAATTGGAAAATATAACATTTCAAGCGAACTGATATAAGAGAAAAATCTTATCGCACAAGAAAGTTGTAGAAGAAAACTTGACTAAGTTAGAAAAATGAGATGAAGACTTTGAGTAATGAAACAGAGAAAAGCAGTAAATATAACGAAAATTTCTCGAATGTTCCTCAAGTTAGCTGATCATTTTCTTTTATATTAATGGATATCTATGAATTACATTTAATAAAATCCAAACAAGAGTCAATTTACATTTTCCAAATAGATCAAAAATTCGACGATGATGTTTACGGCATATTCTTTCAATAAGATCTTGATTGATTAAATTTATTCTATCATGTTCGTCAACATCTATAAAACAATAAGCTTTTAATAATGATGAAAAATCAACATCGATTAACATTTCAATCAGAATCTTCAACTCGACTCAAAACTAATTGTTGTTGCAATTCAGCACTAACAGACGGTATACATTCTTGAATATGTGACTCCTCATCATGTAGCAACTAAATTTGATATATAGTTGACAATCAATGTGAAACATTCACCGATGCAATCAGATGACGACACACTAATCCTTGTTCATTTCTCTTCGATCAGAAACATGGACAACACTAACAATCGACCACGAAGATTTTTGTCTTGCATTTCTTCCTAATTTCGATGAATCATTTTTCACTAAATACCGAAACAATATTAATTTTTTTCTCTGACTTTTTTTTATTTTCCGAATACATAAAAACTTTGTGTCTCGTTTAGTGAATTTCTTCCTATGAACACAATTGCATCTTGTTTTCATAATGATATTGTAATTCACAAAATTCCTCTTTATTTCTCTTATCGTCCATGTCAAACAATCATTGGAAACTTTTCTGAAATCTGTTGAACGCATTTGGGAATTTTCGAGAACTTTCACGAAAAGTTGAAAAAGAATTGTATCGATATGGTCACTATGGATAAATATTATTGAGCTAGGCATGGATTTAGTTGTTTCGATTTCAATAGAAATCAATTTTTCTTAACATCTGTACTGATCATTTGACAAGTTCTCGTATCAAGAAATGATTTTGCTGTATTGTTAAAATATTCGGCAAAGTCTTGTTCGCTAAGCGGGTCAATTATCCATTTCTTATTAATCGTCAGTTATCGTCTGACTTGATCGGACACGAAGGACTTGTTAAAAATGATATTCGACTTTTCTGTCACATCATAAAGGGAACTTCAGGATGCATCGAATAAATATTTCGTCTACTAGAATCATAGATTACGCCATACTGTTGACAATGCACGATTTTTTCCTCGATACTTTTGAAAGTCTGGCTAATACAACAATGGTTTCGATCGCTGACAAATTTTGTTTTATATATCAGATCCAACTTTCTACAAATTCTGTTCGATATTCATTCAAAAATGTCGAATTAAAACCGAGCTCAAATCGATCTGGATTATGCAATTTGATAATATTGTATGGCATGAAGTCGTTAGCCACATCTCGCAGCCATTGCTTTCCCATCATCAGTGCCACCCAAATTCCGACTGCTTTCTCTCGTTCTGTCTTTTTGTTGCCGCTTTGCTATATCATCTCGGTTCATATTTTTATCTTGAACGGAAAAAATGTCAACACTTTCTTCTTCTCTCACTTTTCCATTATGATGCTTTCAAACGAATATTTCTCTGAGAATTGAAAATTTTCGTGTTGATCACAATCATCTTACGCGATGTACTCGAACTTTCATTAAGTTGAAATTCTGATCGTCATAAAATTATTTAGTCATTTCTAGTTTCATTGTCATCATTGCGGTTCGACGTCAGCAAAACAAGCTATAATATTTCACCATGCACTGATGAATAATCTCTTCAATTTTCATTTGGATTTCTCTTCTTATTTCATTATAAGGCTTGAAGCATAGAAAGTTTCATTTTGAATACGAGAAACCATTTAAAAAATATTCTTCCTTGTCAATGGATTTGTAGTGTCTTCGGTGTTTCATAAGGTAGAAATGCGAAAGCGACTTTTTTCATTGCATCGGACCATCATTGATCACCATGTTTGAGAGAGAAAAGCTATTGATGGAAGTAAGATCGAATAAAATTTGGCTATTACTCAGATATTTGACATTGTTCTTGGTTATGCAGCCAGATCTTCAACTATTTGTCGCACTCTATAGTGGTGAACGGATCGCTCTGATAACCGGAGTTATCGAAATGAACGACCGATACGAATCAATCTTGATCAATCTGTGCTCAGATACCAGACAAAAAATAAAGACATCTGACTAATAATCGAATACAACAAATCGCTCGTCGAGTCACAATGTAACCTAATGTTTGATTCTTGTGATAAGGATAGCGTTTTTGTCGCTTTCTTGACGAATATTCGACACAATATTTTTTATATCATTGTCGTTCAAATCCCTAATTACAGTCGCCAATACATTATCTTTTCTCTTATTTCTTAACAATCAACATTTCAACACAATACATTTCCTTTTTGTGCATGATTTTCATACTTTGCAACGATACAGTTCATTTTTGTGAAGGGACAAGAAATACGAACAAGTTTTATATCATTGGACTTTACTTTTATATGATGATTCACTGTATATCGAGAATTTCAACTGTTCGATGGATTGATGTTCAAGTCATCTTCGATAATTCATCTATGTTGCAAACAAATTTCTCAAGTCATCAATTTTCTAATGTGATGGGCATAGTGTTTTAGCTCAATGATAAATTAGAATGTTTAGAAAGTATCAAAACATCTGAAACAGAATTCTCCAAATGAACTTGACAGACGATAAGTTTATTCTATTTGATTCATGATGATTCGATTCGAAAAGATTTTATTGTTTGATGGCATGCTCAAGATAATGGTGAGAACGCTTAAAGTACCTTCATTTTTTTAGAAATTCTCAACTCCAATCAATGTTGAACTTTTGTAATCGTTTATTTCCGTTATCAACCACGAAGAGATTGCCTTCTCGATCAAATGACAAATCCGTGGGACCATAGAGTTGATTTGATTGATTTCCTTGACCATTTCCTCCAACAATGATATTTCCCTGTGAGGCTTCTTGAATCCAACGTACTATTCGATTATTCGAATAATCAGCCACATAAACAGCACCTGACTGATCCACAACAACTCCATAAGGCTTTGATAATTCTGTAAGGCAATTTCCTTCACCTTGACCACCAGCCACAACAATGCCTTGTTTCGCACCTTTCATCCACTTCATCACACGGTGATTACTTGTATCCGATACGTAAACTGAATATTCTCGATCGACGAAGACGTATCTCGGATACGTCAATTGATCGAGACGATTTCCTGATCCATTTCCACCTGCAACCACTGTTCCCTGATTTTCTCCCATTCGATATCGTCTGACTTCATGCTTATCAAAATCAACAACATAGAGAGATCCATCATCGTCCATTGTCAAACCATGACATCCAACATTTGAGATGATCGTCTCTCCATTGCTACCATTTTGGCGAGGCCATCGAACAATTCCTTTATTGCCATAATCACAAATGATGAAACTATCTCTTCCTTTATCAATAATCACATCGGTCGGGCCAGTCAATTGATCAGAATCATTTTCTTTTCCGTTTCCACCGGCTACAACTCGAGCAGTCATTGCATCACATTTCCATTCCACAATACGATGATTAGAGTAGTCTGCAACGTAGACAGTTTGATCGTCATCAATACACAAGCCACATGGATCGTTGAATTGATTCGTTTCACTACCTCGTCCATTTCCTCCAGCGACAGTAATACCATCCTGTATCCATTTTACATTTGCATTCACATTTGCATTGTATCGAAATGATGCTAAAACAAAAAACAATTCCGTCTATTGACACAGAGTTAACGTACGTCGATGAAATGCAATATTTTAAATAGAAAAATTCAATAGAAAGATAGAGAAAGAAAAAAAGTTTTACTGAATTGGCATGTCACTCTAAATACTTTCTACGCGATATTTTTATGACTTTGATTCAAGCGATCGTTTCTCGTAAATTGTTTTTTAAAGAAAGAAAGTCAATTGAATTTCGTAAACATTGTCGTGAAAACGAAATACAAGTTGAGAACGATGGATATGGTTCCAATGACGGAATAAGAAATACTTCACGAAGAATAAACAATTGACACCTTAACAAATATTTGAGGAAATTTCATCTACTTCAATTCTCATTAAATTAAATACATGAATATTTGCTATGAGAAAAAATAGCTCAGAAAAACATTGCCAACTTTCCCTAATGATTTCAAGTCTCACTAATGTGACAAATCTTTTGAAATACTTGACACAAATATTCATTTTCGAAAAAGTCAAGAGCAGTGGCGTACTAAACAAAGAAAAACTTACGCCAAAGACTTAATACGATGCATTTCTTTACTTTTTAAAGAATGTTAGTTGACCGTGAAGAGACTCGAGTTCAAGGTGGAAACGATGCACTTCCGTACTCCTAGAACACATGGAGTATACGAAGTACAATGGAAGCCCAGGGAGTATATGGAGTCCAAAAAGTACGTGAATATGTCGTTTCCCCCTTGGTCGAGCTTCGATTTTAGATTTATGTCATTGTTGAAATTCACTGAAGAGATTTTGAAAATCTCAGATGATCTTGTGATTTTCTTTCAACTCTTTCAAACACAATTTCTGCTGCATTGGATGCAAATGAACTTTCAGTCATCATAACTGAAAAAGATCAGTTCTCGACCGATGCTAGATACATAGGTGAATAACTATCAGCTGTTTAAATGATCTTCAAATTAGAAATTGAAAAGAGATATATGAACGTTCGACAGTTGGAAAAGACTTGAAATTCGAGGCCTTTTTTTAGTAGTATTTCATTCAAAACTCAACATATTGTTTTCATCTTCACTCCCAAAATCGAATGTGTTGATGATTCGTCGCCAAAGATGCAAACTCTATGTAACGCAGACGTGATATTTTTTCGATCAACGAAAAGCAGCGATGTTCAGCTTTTGAAATATTCATTGACTACATAAGAACTCATCAAATGTCAAATCAAACAGTTCTATTTTTAGAGTAAACAAAAAAGAAGTAGTCAAGAGAAATAAGAAAAAGAACTGTTCAATGATTCACTATTCTAAAAAAAATGATGAAGGAATTCACCAAGTAATCAGATGGAGAAAGATCAAATGAGTCAATGTGCAATGTGTGTTGAACAAGAATTGTGGAAGGGAAGAAATATCTTTCTGAAGAGATATTTGTTTGTCTATGGTATTCTAGGTAGAGATGATTAAAGTTGTCTCTCACAGAAAAACAGTCAGGTATGACATTGATCATCACGAAAGATGACATTTAAAACTTCAATAATATATTTGATGATCGTGCTTTTCATTTCTTTTGATTTCATATCGGAAAACTATAAATGAGTGAGCCATGTTAATATTTCGAACATTTCCACATCCACGGATATAGTTATCTGTATTAACACGGAAACTTTATCTCACACGTTATCATATGCGATGCGGCATTGTCACTGTATACAATTGTATATGACAGACAAACTCACCGCCTCAGGTCAGTCAATCGGATGATGAAATCTTATAAAATCTTATCTTTGCTCTTATCTGATCGTACAAAATTAAATCGAAACTGTACAAAATATCATCGTCTCTGAGATCTTACGCTTACGCTAAGTTGTTTAATAAGATTCTTGAAAGATCTTGCTGCCTTGTAAGATATCATTATAAGATCATAGAAAAAATGATATGTCATTAAGAAATCTTATTATACGACATAACGTAAGATTTCAGACACGATGATTTTTTTTTTCTACGATCTTCACAAGTTTTCGTCTGATCTACAAGAATGTTACTTCTGATTTTTAATCTCGAACGATACGATCGTATTTCTGCACCAGATATTACAGCAAAATATGGTCCGTGTCTATGTCGTAAATTAACTGTAAACGACAGTATACGGACCCTAACATTTAACCTGGGTTTGTATTTTGTTTCTTCTCGTTCACTTTTAAAAATAAATCCATCGTATTATTCTGAATTCTAACTAAGCATCTTGTCTTGATATTGTATCGAAAATTTTATCATATGAATATTCTAAAGTAAGAAAATGTCATAGTATTCAAGTCTAATCGATATATTTGCTTTAATATGAAGTTATTTCATATCTGGCATATCAATGTAATAAAGACTAAACGACAAAGTCAGCGCTAAATGTTTCGTCTCAGTGAAGTTTCAGAACAAAATTGTGTAGCGCCACAGACTACGATCAGACTCAATGTTAATAATTAAACTGTTAAGACAATTGACGTCTTTTTCAAGTATTCAATGATTCTATAACATCGTTCTATTCATGTATCCAATGACATATAACATTAATGTAATGACAAACTGGATGGAGTAGCTTACCATCAACTTCGGTAATAAAGTCTATTTGGCTACTTCACATCTTCAGAACGTGTCTATATAACATTGCACACATACTTATAGAGAAGAGAGCAAGAGAGAGGTGACCATAGCACAGAACAATGCGTAATATTGTTTGAAGGCCACAGTATCATAATGATGTCTATGAGATGTATTTTCCTTCGGACAACTTGTCAATGAACTTTTTCTTCTATTCGATTCTAATTTAGAATAAAAAAAATTTCATTTTCTTTGACGATGGAAATTCGATAATGAACTTATCGAACTTTGTCAAATATCATAAAAATATTTCGATATCGATGTAATTAGATCGCTCAACTATTTTTACAATTCTTCAAGAGAAACACTAAACAATGCTAAGTCAAAATTTTTGGACTTCTTCTCCATTTTTTCTGAGGATTCTTAAATGTTCCATGTAAACTATTTCATTTGTTTCTTTGTATTCACTTGCGATGAAATTCTATTGAAATATGTAAATCGATCGTTTACAGACGTTTGAGAAGAAAAAAAGCAATCATTATGAATGCTCTATTTTTCAAAAGATTTGATTTTCTTTATCGATTCTTAATTAGAATTAAACTACAGTCGATCTTCCATTGGCATCTGAGAAAAGATTTATCTATTTTTGTATTCATTCCCTGAACTCTTAAGAATGATATAAATGAAGAATACGTAGCTCATCTACCGATTCAGATCGTTTGTAAAGAAAAAATATAAGAAAAACATTCTCTTTTTTTTGACTTGAAATTCACCTAAAATTAACAAATTATGGTGTGAAACTATTTTTCAATTATTTCATCCGTCAATGTACAAATGCTTTTTTTACTTAAAAAAGAATCGTTATCATTCTAAGAGTTTATTCACATTGAAACGTTGAATACGCTATTTATTTGTTCACTACTCGACAATTCACTATGAAATTGAACTTTCAAGTTTTTTTGAAAATATTTACCGATTGTTAAAATGATTTCATTTTTTGAAATTATATTCAAACGAATGAAAATTCGAAAACGTGATATTGAGAGAAAGTCATGCAAATCTATGAAAATCTTCGGGAATGATTCTTGTTTTAGTATTCATTGGACTTTTCAAAAACAATTTCTACTTGTTGAATAAAGTCGGTGTTCTTCTAATTATTGAAAGTGTAATATTGACGATTAGGAATAATCAGAGAAAGTAAAATACATGAACAAATAGAAAATCTTGGAAATATTTTGACTCTCATCAAAGTTTTGTCAATTTTTCATAGAAAAAAAAAGAAAACTTTTATTGGAATTGGTTTCGTTAAAAGATTCGAGTCTTTGAAATATTGAACATATCAAGAGTGAATAAAAACAACTGTTCTGATTATTGTGATATGAAAATCAATTTCAAATCATTTTTCAAGTCAATCTTTACTAGAGAGTAAATATGATCTTTGATATACATTGTCAGAGTCTTGTAATCTCAAATCTTCAATAGTAAAACTATTTTCTAAACTGAAATCAATCGTATTCAAATGGCAATTCTACATCATATTCTAGAAATGATTTCTATTGGAGTTCGAAATAATGTTTCAGAAAATTGAATGTATTTCATTTCGGATGAAAATCCACCCAGTTCTGTCAAAATGACAGTTTCAAATGACATATTATTCCTTCTTCTTGAACATAGTTTCTTTCTCTAAGTAACACTAATCTATGAATGAATTAGTTTAGATCGATTAAGAAAACGAAAATGTTCGATTGAATGACAAACAAGATTTGATTGATTTGTTGAGGAATTTCTATTTTTCTCTATCTTCAGTTTAATCTACTTACAGTTTTGTTGTTCTCCTCGAATATAGATTAGTCGATTCCAATCAATTTGATTATTATCAACAATAATGGTTTTATTTATATCTTTTCGAATGAAACGTTTAAGTGTTTTTTTGATTTCATTGAGTTTTTCTTTAAGTCGATCAATATCATTTTCAACAAAAATTTCTTCTTCTTGGCGAGAGCGAATTTCTTTTGCGATTGGTTCAAGTTGTTTTGTTATTTTTATTCTTTGTTTATCAATTAGTTCGACAAGTTCATGATGAGCTCTTTCTGCTGCTTTTTCTATTTTGTTAATTGTTATTTTTTTCCATTCTTCAATTTGAGCAAAAAGATCCAATGATAAATAATTTGATTTTTCTAATTTTTGTATTTGATCAAGAAGTTCATCGTGTGATCTAACTATTTCATTATCAAATTTCACTGATAGTTGTTGTTCATGTTCTTTGAAATCCTTCGGACAAAAATATTTTTTACATCCAATGCAAAAGTATTTAACTGAAGGTTTGTTGCAAATTGAACATAAATTTGATTCATTTCCTGTCGCCATTTGTCTTAAAAGAAGACTAGTTGGATTGATTATGTAACCTAATGATGAGAATATCTTGAATAATTTCGATCTAAAATTAATTTGATAAGAATATTTATGAAGAAATAATGTTAAGTAATTTCCTGAATATTCTTCGTTTATGATTCAAATGAAATTTCGTTAAATTGTTTCAAATATGATTCAATCTGTGTGTAATAGAAACTTAGAAACAAGATTATATCGGCTTTCAATTGGTTAATATACTAATGATTTAATTATTATACAAATCTCGATCAAATTTGAGAAACTTGAACATCTGATAAATTCATTTTGAGAAGGAAAAAAGTCTTTTGAAATGAATCGATTTATATCGACAAAAGTTAGAATTCAATGAAAATATATCTGAATTCAGTATACGGATGTTTCTATTAAGGATAAGTATGTTTTCAATAAATAAAACCTTATTTTCGTTTTGAGACATGGAAAATATCTCTGAAAATATAACTTCTCTGTGGCAAAAATTGAAAGTAATTGAAAATATGCGATGATTTTCCAAACAACACTTGTATTTTGTTTATTTTTGCACCAAAATATTCTCTGAAAATTTTCCCTATACTTTTATTAAGGATCACATAGCTGAGAACAAAGTGTGTGACAATAATTGGGTAAGACATAAATGAAAAGTCATCAACAACTTTCCCAACTTTGTTTACTTTGAAATAATTATGTTCTTACGAGGGAACCTCCCGAGGTGTCCAACGCCGATTCTCTTCATTCGTACGTCGTTTGATAGAGGGTATCGAGATAGCAAAAAGCCTAAAAGGATTTGGGCTGACAGCTCTTCCTTGAAAAGT